CGAAATCCAACGCGCAGGCAATTTTAAAACTTAAGTTATGCGTAAAATTTAATTAATTTTCTCATAAAATTGTCGCGTTTAAATCTCAACTCTACTACTAAATCTCAACTAATAAGAAATAGACGTCGATCTATCTTATCAATTTCTTTAACATTTTTAATGTTTTGTTCAATAGCGTCGATTGTTTGCCGCCAGAGAATGTAAATAAAACAACACTCGTGACTGGCACCGTTGATTGCTAAAATGATAGCTTAGATGATAAATATCGCTGATATATCTAATGTAAGCGATATATAAGCGATAATATAAACGATATAAGAATATATAAGCGATATTAAATCGATATAATACACATTAAAGATAAATCCTTTTCTTTTGTATTTACTTATTATAGGATTAATGTGTTAGAAATGAGGGTAGAAAATAGAATAAAATACGAAAAAGTGAGAGTAGAACACTTTACCTCGACTCGTTCGAAAAGCACGGCGCACGTACGTTACCAGTAGGAATTAGTCATCAAGCAAAGAAGGTCGTGTTTGCGGAGAAGCTGTACCGTGTCACATTGTGTTGCCGTTGGTCTACATAATTATTCTATTTTGGTGTAACCTTGTCATTACATCAATCACGTTACACTAATGTGATTATGAACGAGACGTTTTACGGTACGGCCCGCCCTCATACCACAGAATAAATAATAGTACTAACTCATACTATTATTTTTAACAATAACATATTTGCATACGTATATTGCATATCACGTGTGTATGTTATTGCTCTAAACCTATTAATCTATCTATCTCGTTTAACATGTTCTTTAATATAATAGTTTTTGTTTGTATGATATTTTTATTTATTTCGCTTATTGTTGATGCAATATGATTTCTATTGTTTTTGTCTGAACAATTTTTTTTTGTTTTATGTTGTTTAGGTTCTTATAAATATACACACAAACAAACACTGGTCCTAATTTTTGCTCTTGTCACGCTCTCAATACAAAATTTGTGATATCTAAATTACACAAAATAAAACTAGCTCGTTGACAAGCTCTATAATCGTGAATTGAATATAATAATATAGTGACCTGCGGCAAGTGGCGAGACGTAATCAGAGATTATTATACTACAGTACACTATATTCTAGTATAATAATCTCTGATTGATCTCTGAGAGATCCCTTATATATTATATATCCCTTAAATTATTCATGAAAGTGTATTTTTAATAAATAAGCGTAAGACTATTCTTTTGCTAAAATCATTAGAATAGAATACATTTTTTTTATTTAATATAAATTATAAATAATACTTATTGAAAGTGACTGTTTTGTTTATTTACAACTGGTACGAAAAAATAGCTTTGTCCTGGGAAGAACCAGCAAGTAACCCAGCGGGACTTTTTTTAAATAACAGCTTACAATCATGTATGTTGCACAATTAACAACACAAAACAAATTAGAAATAGCTTGGTTGCGATCACCTCACTCTGGGAATTATCTGGGGATATAGGTTATTATCATCCATAAATTACTTAATATTATAATAAGCCTTTTTATACAAACTTAATTTAATACAGTTTTTGAACTTTGAGCAGGTCAATTTTTGTATTACAAAACTATTGTCTTTTGTTTTTAAATATCCTATTCTAATTAATAATAGTAATTATTACATCATTGTTGAACATTCTTATATAATTATAATTTAATATATTTAATTGCAACTATAATATTTGTATACTAAGGGTTGAATGCAGCGAACATCATGTTTTTTTGTAAAGATCTATTCTGTCTCATTATCAGTATTCACAAATAAATAACATTTGAATTTAAATTTGAAAAACTTTGTCATAGAAAATGTAATAATAAGTTTCTAGGATAGTGGATCCTCACTGCGTTTCATCAAATGCCCAGACGAATACACTTCATCAAATGATAAAGAGAAAAATTTTTCAACAACGCAAGAGCCGATTTGAGAACGATAATTGCTCATGCGAATGTTTGAAGTATACATAAAAAGTACTTAGAAATCGAAAGCTTAATTAATGAACAGCACTGTGACGGAGACTTGGAGTAAAAATCATCAGATACAGGCGATGACTATTGAAAACTATACACCCGCGACTTGTTTTAATAGAATACTTTTTAAACACGGTGGAACGGCAATATATATGAAAAATACTCTAGAATATAAAATTTGGAACGACTTAATAAACTATCATTTAAAATGAATTGTGAATTAGCAGCAATAGAATTAAGAGCCTTAAAAAATAAATAAAAAAAATGCTTACAAAACTTTTAAATAAACTTTGTGAAGAGAACAAACAAATTGTAATAGCAGGTGACTTGAACTTAAATGTTTTGAAAATTGACTCATAAATTTAAAAATTTGATAGAATACTTAAAAATGTTAACTGTAAATGAGTATTAAGTCAACCGACTAGAACCGAAATAAATAAATGAAATAAAACCAGTTCTACGTGTATAGTAGATAACTTCATTGTCAATTTTAATGAATGTAAAGGATATGAGAGTGTGGAGGTAATTGAAATTGGCCGATAGTTGGCAGGGTCGGTACGATTACCTTTTTCAGGCACAGGCTGCACATTGGCCCGCTGCCAAGATTTGGGCACTATTCCAGTCCTGAATGAGCGGCAACAACGAACAACCTTTAGAACTATAGCTGGTATACCATCAGGTCCACTGGGGTTGTTCATGTCTAGACTTCGCAAGGTTTTTAAGGACCTCCTTATTGGTGATACGGACCTCTGACATGAAGGTACCGTAGTGAGGTAATTGACATGGTACGCTGTTACTACTGTCCAGATGCGAATGGCAAGCAAAAAGAGAAGCAAATAAGTCCGCTTTCTCCTTAGGTGCATGCGCCAGTGAGCCATCTGGTTTTGGACAGAAGTTTGTCTCGACCGCTTTGGCGAGAGTCCAAAAAGCTTTACTGCCAGATGGTTTGACGGAGAGCTTTGTACGTTTAATGCGGTCGAAACTAGCTTGGTGTAATGCTTTTTTGCAGGACTTGGCGTCTTGGTTAAAGGCTCTCTTCTTAAGGCTAACATCCGGAGCTTTGTGGTCTCGAGCATCTACCCAGGATAAGTACGCCATATGCTTGTGCTTTTCAGCACGAGCGAAATAATGTAATTAAATTAGGATTATTTTATCAAAAAAACTGTTACAATAAATATGATGTGTATAGAAACTTATCAAGGAATAATCTTGATTATTTTAATTATTTGTTCAACAAAAATTACATTGCGATTAAATTAGAAATTATAATGACTGATGACCCGAAAGCAATAATTAGAATTTTACAAGATACTTTGCACCATTATTACAACATTGCTTTTTCAAAAATAAAAAAAATTAAGACGGATATATAAAAATGGTCTACATTAGGTATAGAAACGAGTAAGAAAAACTTAATTAAAATGGAATTTTTACAAGAGCATTACGCTAGCCAACAGAGTAAAATTAAAATTAAAAAATATAAGAAATTATTGCTAAAATAATGTAAGTCGCTATAAAATAAAAATATAGTATGCAAAAAATAACATTAAAGAATCGTGGAATATTATAAATGAACAGATAGGACAAAATAAACGACAAAATACAACATATAGAATTGAATCGATAAAAACGATAGTGGGCAGATTATTACAGAATCTCAAAAAATTGCAAGAAGTTTTATTGATTTTTTCTGAAATATAGCACTTCACCTCTACAGTTGAAGAATGATCTCGTAAAATTTGTGGGTCGAGTAATCGACACTTGAACCTTCCGAATGATATTCGACAGCTAATCAGAGCAAAGACAATACGACCACTATCGTACTATAGACAACACGAGTATGCAACCTTCAAAACGAGTGGGATAATCTGCTGGAGGATATCGAGCCATCTCAATCTGCCTTCTGGCAGCTGACCTGAGCTCTGAAAGCAGAACAATCCTCATCTATGCCACCTATAATTAGGGCAGGAAACCCCGATCTCACCTTTGTCTACTCTGAAAAGGTCGAATGCCTCGCGGACAGTTTAGAGAGCCAATGTACTTCCTCTAGCGAACCTATAGATCCCGCTCACCTTACAGAGGGTGAAGTGGAGGTAAGGCCCTTAGATCCTGTGATAGTCGTCGAAGTCACAGAAGTAATAAAAAACTTCTAAAAGAAATCAGCACCCGGCCCCGATGTCATTAGCAACAAACCAATCAGTCTCCTCAACACACTGGGGCATGTTTACGAACGACTCATATTGAATCGCCTTCGTAAATATGTCCTCAGTAATAAACTTCTCCCAGACGAGTAGTTCGGCTTCAGATTCGAACACTCGTGCACCGATCGGTTACTTCACACAGTTTAGGGTAGATAATATTTTGATCACAGAACACAATATTATCCACCCCAAGATTATCGATTTCAAATAAATAATCACCCCCATTTTATAGCTCGTAGTCTTTCAGGCCACGAGCCCTGAGTCCTATTAAACTGTTAAAGCTGCATAGGTTAACAGCACCAACATCACAGAAACTATATTATCTATAATAAGTTATGCCATTACTATTTGGGGTAGTGCTACGGATATTATAAAAGTTTTAAAATGTCTATAAGAAAGATCAATGGTCTGAAAAAAGTAGCCTGGCAAAAAAAGATTTTAAGAACGACAAAATAATGACAGTGATTTCGCTTTATATACACACATCAACATCGTCGAGGAATATTTCGGGTTTTCTTAATTTATTCAAATTTTGTTATATTTTTATAGAGCCCATTTATCACACTAGACTTCTGAATAAAACGATTCCTTTTTTTTTTGCGTAAATTAAATTTTATTTAAATGGAGACGAAGAGTGAAATAATGGTATACCTAACGATGAATGTGGTATTAAAGAAAAAGTGAAAAATAAAGCGAAATTATTCAGTTTTTTTCAATTATGCGAAAAATCAGTAGTCAGTAAAACCACCTATGACGCTAACAACAGTCTTGCAAAGGTTTTTCATGCAATCAATTTATCAAAGTCTTGCTGCGGGATATTGTCCGAGGTCCTGCTAAGATGCCAAAAAGTTGAAATTCGGTCGCAATGTTTACAGGAACATTCTTGAAAGCCCTTCTTTGGAGCATGTCCCACGCGTGCTCAGACTGGCCCGCGAAATCACCTGACTTAAACCCTATGGGGTTTAAGACCGATAAACCGTGATCTTGCAGCCAGCTGGTCACGGTCATGGTGTGCGGACGGGCGTTGTCATGCATGAGCGTTAAATCTTGGCCCATTTGTAGTCGATGGGGGTAGACTATTGCTATCAGTACCTGGTTACGGTATTTTTCAGCAGTCATGGTGTTTCTGATCCAAATGAGGTATGTTCTTTCACAACACGAATTCCCATATACCACTACGTACCGTAATACCAATAAGAATAGGAATGGAAACCAAATCGGGACTCATCAGTAACTGTAATATTCGTTCACAATTTCCTCGACGCAGTGCTGAAATACGAAGCGGCATACGAGCATGAAGGTTAGCTTCATGCAGTCTACTCCTCACAGTTTGGTCACTCACGAGCATCTGCTTGAACTCTGCCTTTGAACCAACAGCATGGCCGTGACATTTGGTTGTCTTCTCGCGGCAACTTGCAAAAATCGGTGATGTCGTTGGGTGGTTATGCGCTTCCCGCCTGGGTGTCTTTCAGTCACTTCACCAGTAGCACGATAACGTGACCATCCCCTAGATATCACTTTTTTATATAGGATAAGGGTGACAAACGAGCACACAGTCCACCTGACGGTAAGTGGTTGCTGCGGGCCATAGACATGTACATCTATCCTCTATTACAAATCAAAAAGTAGATGCGTTGTCACCCGTGAGGACTAAGATGGAATGCCTCATTTTCAGTAAAAAGGGCCTACGGCCACCTGCACTCACCAAGCGAAACGCAGAGGTAAACCTCTACTTCACGCTGGTTTTCTGTGAGGTCGTGGTACCACCCCGGTTCGAGCTGGCCCATCCGTGCGACAGCAACAGCTGCCGCGTGGCTCTACCACTGTTCTATCACTTTTTGTTTTGTTTCAATCTTCTCAGCAATAATCGGTTAAGTAGCCCCAGCTTGGAACATGCTTACTGCCTTTAACATTTTCTCTCTCGTTAAGTGGCGCCGCTGCATGATGCAGACAGTAACACTAATCTATATCTATACTTATAATAAATCTGTAGAGAGGTCAATTCTGTACATGAAATATATTTCCAAAATAACTATCAGGAGGTGATTAGTGATCGATACTGATGCCAAAAATGCAAACAGTAAATTTTTCGTCTGTCTGTCTGTCTGTCTGTCTGTCTGTATGTTTGTTATAGAAACAAAAACTACTCGACGGATTTTAACGAAACTTGTTACAATCATTCTTCATACTCCTGGGCAGGCTATAGTATACTTTTCATCACGCTACGATCAATAGGAGCAGAGCAGTGAAGGTAAATGTTGGGGAAACGGGAGAAATTACTCCATTTTTTAAGCTTCCGTCGCGTGTGCAGCGTTATTGGTTAAAGCTACACAGAAATCATGTATAACGGAAATGTATTCCTTAAAATTATATAAAGAATATCCCAGGACAGCATATGTCTATCTTTTATGGTTGACTCACAATAACACGTGTAACTCCCGATAGCTTAGCAGTTCGGAGCTTTCTGATTATATTTGTCTACTCTTACGTTTATAACACTCTCACTCATCCCTAATTAAAAAAGTTAACATTATTATCTATTCAATAAAAAGAATCATAGAAATCGGTATAGAAACACCAAAGTTATACATAAAATACCCTAATAAGCCATCGCGCGTGAATACTCAATCATGCTATAAGGATTATTTTTGTGTAAAGGTCGCCGCGATTGACGCGGCTCGCGGCGGGAGGTATAAAAAGGCGGAGGGTCCGAGTGCGAGCTTTCGAGCTCTCCAACCAAGCCCTAAAACACTTTCCTGAGCAGGTGTTTTTTTTTATCTATTATCTTCAACGCCTGCTTCAACCTTAGTTACTTTCCCACTACGTGGAAAGAGGCAACTGTGATTGGTATTCCCAAGCCAGGCAAGCCTCTCAACCTCCCCTCCAGTCATCGCCCCATTAGCCTCCACAAGGCCATGGGCAAGCTCTTCGAAAGAGTCATCCAAACTCGCATGAGGCGCCATCTGTTTCCCAGAGACGGTGACCCTCATATCATCCCCCATCAATTCGGTTTCCGAGCGAAACACTCTTGTCCCCAACAAGTTCACCGTATTGTGGAATATATCCTCAGCGGTTTTTATCCTCGTCGTCATAAGACCATCGCGGTCTTTTTCGACATAGCTAAAGCCTTTGATAGAGTTTGGCATGAAGGCCTTATCTACAAATTATACAAAATAGGTCTCCCCGATCGTCTAGTACGTCTCGTGGCTTCTTATCTAAAGCATCGTATCTTTCGTTTTAGACGCGAAGGCACGCTATCTTCTCAGCGCCCCATCAAAGCTGGTGTTCCTCAGGGCTCAGTACTTGCTCCTCTCCTGTACATCCTGTTCACCAACGACATTCCCATCCCGTCGAAAGGTGTTCAGCTCTCTCTCTTCGCAGATGACACTGCCCTATACTGTAAAGGTATCTCGCTACCTTTCATACGGAACATGATCCAAAAGTCAGTTGATGACCTAGGAGCTTGGTTCAAAAAATGGCGCATCGATGTGAACCCGGAGAAGAGCTCCACCGTTCACTTCGATTATAAACGACGCCGTCTCAAAAACACTCCACCAATACGTATGCTAGAGACCCCTGCCCCTGGCATACGACTGCCAAATATTTAGGCGTCACCCTTGACACAAGGCTCACTTTCAGGCCCCATGTCTAAAGAGTAACCCGTCACGCACGTTTTTACCTGAGTAAACTCAACAGTATGTTGGACAGACACAGTAAAATGTCCCTCAGAAACAAGCGTACCCTATATAAGGTCTGTATACGACCAGTCATGTCCTACGCGGGCCCCATTTTTGCCCACGCTGACCCTAAAATTATTAATGAACTCCAAGTAGTTCAAATCCTCTTCTGTCGTCGAGCTACGAACGCACCTTGGTACATCCGTAATGCCAACCTTCATCGGGCCTTAGAGCTCCCTACAATCCAACAATTCCTTAAAAAACTCTGAGAATTTCTTCAAAGCCTCAGAGTCGCATTCCAATCATTTTATTCGTGAGGCAGCTACTTATGCAGCTCCACACCCTCTCGCTATCGAGTCCGCAGGCCGAGAAACACTCTCTCGGACCCGCCAAATAAACTTTCTAACGACCTGAACTGCCTCCTGGCGGCTCAGGCCAACTTATAATAAATTTTCATAATTAAGTTGCCTTAGTAGGCTCTCCCTCAGTGGCTCGTAGCCGCCTGCGCCCTCTTCTCACATAAGAGGGTCGCTTCCGATCCGACAAAGCGGCTTAATCGGCCAATTATCAGTCCCCAAAGTGGAGTTTAGTGGGTATCACTTAGGTTCCCCAGTAGGTAGTCACAGTGCGTCCCACATAACCACGACAGACCGGCTGTCGTGGTATGCGTAAAGCATTCTCCACTTCCTCGCCGTATCGAGGTAGCCCTTTCCAATTGCTTTTGGGCGCATAAAAAAAAAGTGCGAGCTTCATACAATATTTGGCTGTTGATGCGAATAGACGTTCAGAGTGTTCGACCTTATTGACAGACAATAATTGATTTTAACAAACCGTGCTTATCAGCGCGACTTTTAGTCTACTCTTACGTTTAATAATTTATTTTTAGATTTCTTTGGTTGTTATTTTATAAAATAGGTATTAGTTATTATGGTAGTTTTTAAATATTTCTTAGTATTAGCTTAATTATAAATTAAACTTTTTTTTATTTAGCTGTAGTTTTAAATAGGTACCTAGGTATCAAATAGGTTATTTCATTCTACCTATATTAGACGTAGTTTAGGTACCTACTTATATATTTTTAAGAATTTAATTTTGGATTTAAGGATTTATTTAGGATCTGTTTTATTATTTAAGTAGGCATTTAGATTTTTTTAAGTGTATGGTAGCTATAGTTAGGACCTCTAACGTAGATTATTTTGTTAGGTAGCTGAATGCCGTCAATTAAAAATAAAATACACAATGCCACCTAAAAAACGATTATCTTTATCTCGAAATTTGAGAGAAGCTAAGAGAATGAGAAACGTGCGTTTTCAAGAATCGGCAGAGGAAAGAGCACATCGGTTAAACTCTATGAGAGTTAGTGCCTCAACTTCTCGAGCCAATGAAAGCTCTCCAGAAAGAGAGATGCGATTAGCAGTTGACAGAGCGAGACGAACTACATCACGGGCGTCTCAAAGTTCTTTTCGACGAGAGCTAAGGCTTACCATTGACCGAGAACAACATGTGTTATCCAGAGAAGCTGAAACTGCTTCACAACGAGAATTGCGGCTCACAGCTGACCGCGACGGTATATTATTAGCTTATTGAGGGTCAAGCACCGCATGACCGCCATGATATTATCGCAAGAGTTTTTCATTTAAAATTAAAATCAATGATAGATCTACTTACCAAAGATAACATTATTCGAGATGTATTGTGTTATATGTATAGTGCTGAGTGGCAAAGACGCGGCTTACCTCACGCACATTTTTTTATAGGGTAAGGGTTGACAAACGAGCTCACAGTCCACCTGATGGTAAGTGGTTGCTGCGGCCCATAGACATCTACATCTATCCTCTGTTACAAATCAAAATGTAGATGCGTTGTCACCCGTGAGGACTAAGATGGAATGCCTCATTTCCAGTAAAAAGGGCCTCCGGCCACCTGCACTCACCAAGCGAAACGCAGAGGTAAACCTCTACTTCACGCTGGTTTTCTGTGAGGTCGTGGTACTACCCCGGTTCGAGCCGGCCCATGCGTGCGACAGTAAAAGCTGCCGCGTGGCTCTACCACTGTTAAAAATATCCTGCTTTGGTTAAAAGATAAGGTTCGACCTAATGATGTAGACAGTTCAATCAGTGCTGAAATTCCATATCCGATTGCAGATCCCGTGTTATACGACATTGTTAAAACTCATATGATACATGGTCCATGTGGTGCATTTAACGGGAATGCTCCCTGCATGCAAGATGATCGTTGCACTAAAAGATATCCATAAGCATTTGTGGATGAAACTGTAACAGGACATGGTGGATGATTATATCGTCGCCGTTCAAGAGACAAAGGTGGTTTTACTGTATATACAGGGGAAAACAAAGTTTATAGTTCAATAATTAGAATGGTCGATGAACAAGAAGCCACGCCCGGACTTCCTTCTCATGAAATTTGTTTAAAAATTGGCAT